TGTGAAAACATCCAGACTTTTCAGCTCCAGGTTAACAACCCTTCCTTCCTTTGGGTCTTTGCGTGTGGTGGCCAAGACCTCCCCCTGTAGTTCTCAGCTGTAGGTTAGTTGCCTTCATTGTGAATCTGATTGGCTGGTGAATACTTGGGATAGACGCAGGGAAATGTTTATCATATGTCGTCCGCAAAAAAGTCACGGACACCAGCCTCAAATCTGGTGTTTTTTGTTATATATGTTTATTTTGCTCTCGGGACTTCTCGTCAAAGGCGCACATGGATGGACACTGTGGCTGCATGAAAAGTGGCCACATTTCGGTTACACGCTTCTGGGGGTTTTCTTGTTAGCTAATGGTTCTGATGCTGCAACAAGGTCGAGAGCCCTCTTTGCGATGCTGTGAAGTTGAAAGCGGAATTATGCTTTCGATTGTTTTCGTCTGGGTTCTTGTGCGCCATTGAGAATGGAGGTTTCGAAGACGTTTTGCCAAACATGTTTTCAATACGCCAGCATGCACCCCAAGACCACACTCATACCCTTTTTTTTCTCGGACGACCACGATGATGTTATGGAATTGATGACAATGTTGTGAAACGGATCCTGTTACTTGTAGTTGTTAAACCGATGATGCCTGTGATGCAACCCACCAACATGACGGTACATTATTAGGAAACTGATGACGACGACAAACATATTGTGTTGAAACCCATGACATTGTTGTTCGCACTGTTGTGCACCCGATGGCAATGTTGTGCATCCAAAGACACTCTTATGCAAACGGTGACAATGTTATGAAGCCGATGACAATGTTGTCCAATTGATCGCAATGTTGTGATGATATGGCAGTGAACATGAACTTAATGAGGAATTTCCGGAGCCGCAAAGGGATGTATTCGTGGCCACTAGAGTCACTAGACAAACGGCTGGCTAAGCTATTGCCCGCATCTGCCCTAGTAGGTCCAACCAATACCAAGTGCATCCAAGTGCATGTATTCACGAAATTCTATTTTGCATTGTTTTGATCCCTGCTTCTCCTCCAATGAGGTGTGACCGGGAAGGGCAGCGGCGAACCGAAGGAGGTAGATTTGTCGGTCGGTGGGTGAGATTTGGACCTCACGAGTTCACGAGGAGCAAAGGACGCTACTAGGAACAAAGGGCATCGCTACCAGGAGCAAAGGACCTCCTGGCCATACTGCTAGTAACAAGAATCGCTATTAGACACAACAAATAAATAGACTATTACTACTAAGGGCCTCTTGTTTTTTATCATTTTTTCTCCGACTTAGGACAAGTCCAATCATGAAACTTCGCTGTGCGGGCTGCTTGCAGGCGATCGGGTCGTGGCCACAATCTCTCATCCTGAGGTGGGACCGCAATGTGAATTTCCTAATCTGAAACTCATGCACACCAACTTTGGTCATTTGGGAGTATTAGGAGTGTTAGAACAATGTCTTCATGGTCATGACTGTGCTCACATCTTGCACCGAATGATGCATAATTGGTACTTAATTTAGAGTCTATCGACTGGTTCATCTCTCCAATGCAACGCAGTTTTTGTTGACCAACTGCGTGAGTTCCGGAGGTCTTGGACGGCAAGCATAGTCGAACTTGCAGATACCTTGTGAGAAACTATGAACATCCTTTGCAACTCTTTTTGGACGTCAAGCCATAAGAAGTCATGCAAAGCAGCAGGACCAAGCTTGTTGCCGGTCCTACTGCTACTTAGTTCAAGAAGAGCACCGAGGAAGTGTAAGACTGTAAGTCTGTGGATTCCGGATTAGTGTCTGAGATATATATATATATAATTATATATAAATATGTGAGCAAGGGTCAATACTTTGCAGTCATGAGATGGAATAATTCTGTCATAAGGTTGCCTAGCGGAAATCAAAACTGGCCGCATAAGCTTGCAAAATAGTTGTATAGTCGTAAGCGACCTGGCGTAACGTAAGGAAATCCTTACGCCGTAGTCCAAATATCATACCTTTTGACCGCCGCTCATGTGGCAATGATCTCTCTGACCGTCCGACCAGGAGTTCCAGGATGTTTCTGTGGAGGATCTCCAAGATGGCAGGCAAGACACTGCGACCCAAAGTTCTAATGTTATATAAGTTTCCCAAAAAATCTGGAAACCAAATGAATAGTGCGCCCCGCTTCTTTAATGAAGCTTCCCAAGCCAACAATTTGAATGTAGATGTTGGGAGCAGGGTAGACAGGTTCTTGCGGGGAGACTCTGGCTGTATAATTCCTTATGCTCACAACCTCGTACATAGGGTCGTAGGCTAATGTTCGAACTATGACCTCTCGGAGCCAGGTACAAAGTGACCTTCTTGCCACTGACACCTGGAAGCCGGGATCCTGGGGGCCAGGGCGATTTCCGGATACTTCAGTTCCATGAGGAGCATGACAGAGCACACACCAGTTTACATGGTTCGTTGTTCGTATTGTCGTCTACGTTATGAGTTCTGTTAATTGTAAATGCAATAAACAGCAATCAACTATTTCACCGGATTGCCTCAAATATCAATCATTTTATTACAGGATCTGATGCAGCGGAAGGGAACATCCTCCTATTGTGTGGCCCACACAGGCTTCGAGGGTTTACAGCAAGGGAAGAATCATTGAGACACTAAGGCTTCCAAGGTTGTCAACGATGATCACCGATGTACAGATTGCGATCTCTGTGTGTATTTGGTGCTTTTCCGACAAAGCTCTAACTCTTCTAGATTCTTTGGTTTATGGATGACAAGGGTGATTCTGATGGACGCAAATGTATGTCACCAGCGGCTTAGCGCAGGTTACAACTTGCAGATCTCGATAGGGCCTGAGGGAGCAGATGAGGTGCATAGAAGGGGCTGGTTGGGGCTGGTCGGGGTATGGTGACGTCATATTATGATGAGCCAGTTGTCTTTTCGGACATGATCATATATATATATATGCTGACCAAAGTTGTCGCCTTCTTTGGGGGGTGAAAAGTAGACTGCGGCGCAGCTTCAAAGTGTCCCTGATGGAGACATGTTTGTCTATTGATGGGAGCACTGTTCGTTGGTTCGTGGCTGGAAGTGCAGACTTGAAGCCTGAAGGAGACACTATTTGGTATATATTGTATTAAGATATTGTATATATATATATGTTACAATGGCGTATATTTTCAGCAAACATGGATTTGGTTGAGAGTGATATGAGAGCACTATCCAACTTCTCTGATTTTGTTTGATTTAGAATTTTTTTGAGAGGGGATACCCTGAAACCCCATGTCGACTTGGTCCTGGCAAATTTTGAGCCCCATCTAAACCCCAACAGATTCACCCTTTTTTGGTAAATCCCAGCAGACTTTTCCACATTTGGTACGGACATCCTACCAAAAACTGCTTCGAATCAACACAGGTCAGGCCTTTGCACTTCCAAAGTTGGACAACCGTTTGCGGTTTGCAGTTCGTTGAGCTTGACGATTCCAGATTCTGTGAGGTATATTGTTTTTTCGGTTATTTTTCTTCTTTGGTCAGCTCAACCGGCTCAACCATTTCAGACTGGGTGACTTTGACTAATGATGACACATATTTCTGTCACTCTACTTTCGGTGCTTCCCACAGTGGCTGTCGTTGGGTTCTCTCTTTTGCCGAATACATTGGATATCTTTGGCCCTGACTGAGTAGAATGGACTGTTTGGATCTGTTTCGTCTGCATCTTCAAGCTCTTTAACCAGCTGCAACCCTCAAAAGCATGACTCTCGATAGAAGCCACAGAATTTGAATCCGTCTGAAAAGTTGGATTCTGAATTCCGTCACAGAGTTCGGAATAGTCAAACTCCTAAATGAACTGCAACCCTCAAACGAAGGGTGTCAATTTCAGTCACAGTGCTTCAAGGTCACCAACGGACCAACGAACTGCAGCCAACCCTCAAAAGCGCCACTCCCAATGGAGGTTATGAAGCGAATGTTGTTTAAGCAGTCCGGTACTGTGAGTGTCAGTGTCCGGCAAGACGTGTCAGGAGTTGCACGGATGCCCTTTTACACTGGAGGTTAGCGGCTCAGACGACCTTGCCAGAGGTTAGGACCTTGCAACTTTGTTTCATGCAACGCCCAGGATATTAAACACGGCATGAAACTTTATTTATGATGTACCTTGTTTGATGCCGGATCATCTCAGGTCCCCAAGCTTTTGAAGCTTTGGGGTGTTTGCTGAGTTCGAAAATGGACAGCACGAAACATCATGCAGGAACTTTAGGGGACACCTTGCCACTGTTGGTTCATTCACATTCTATGCACCTTTCGCTCAACTCTTGCAGTCCCATGTTTTTGTTTTGCGGCTCTGAAGTATCAACCGTTCCCCAAGCCATTCCCTCGCTGAAGACAAAGCCGTGCTAACCTTGGCAGATTCTTTGTGTCGAAAGGGTACTGTAGAATACTGTAGATCTAGTGCTTGCGTTATTTTTGATTGCTCGATCAAGAATTGGCCGAGGTACGACCACCCACTGTCTACCAGACCATTGGAGTTGCTAGCAGCCCAGGGATGGAGAGTTCAATGAAGTGTGAAGTTTGTTTGGTTTCCTTAAATGTTGATAATGTTGTACCAACATGTAGCAACTGCTTTCTCAGGGATGCTTCCTCACTACTGCGAAACAACCCCTCGTTTCTCTCATCCAAGGATCACTAGGCGAATTTTGCAGTACATTCCAGCCACTTGTTTCAGTTCTCTTACTGATTTGTGTACCACTACCGGCATGGTTGCCATCGTGCCAGCTCTGGTCGGTCCGTTCAGGATGCTGATATGACCCCACTGACCCACATTTTGCTGGTTCCGCTTAAAGCCCTAAGCGCGACCCTTCATAGCCGTAGTGCACGATGTTTTCAATCTTTTCGGCCAGATGAGATTTTTATCAGGTTGACTTGCTGGCTTTTCTGTGGCATGAAAGGATCAAGCGACTTTGTTCGCCAAGCCCACTTCGTATGGAGTTGTGAAACGCCAGGTTCTCTACTGTGCTTGGAACGTCAGCGCTTAGAGTCATGAAGGTCTGGCTGTGGTCGGCGCTCTTCCTCCTCTCTGATGGCCGCCGGTTGCAGGATGAACACTACGAGCTGAATCCCACCGCTACTTCTCGAATGATGAAGCGGTTTGGCCAATACCTACCGAAGATTGAAAAGAGCCTGCAACAGCAATTTCTCTTCAGGAGAAATCAGCCAATCACTGGCTTTCTTGCCTCAAAAGTGCATAGAAGGTCCATGAAGGTCCTATCGGTCATAGGTTTACTAGGTTTTAGCACACCAAGTCACTATGTACATTTTTTGGAATTTCCTGTAGGAAATGGGTAGGGTTAACCCTGTTATAAGTTATAAAGCCTATTTTGTTTAAATAGATAGTTAATTTTTAGTTTCCGGATGTATATGTATTTTATAGAAATCGATGGTGTTGATCAGAGATCAGAGGCAAAACAAACCATTTTCTAGAGAAAATTGAAGAGTGAAATACGCTTCGACAAGACGTTGAGCATATCATTTTCTAGAGGGCATGAAAAGTCAAGGAGACATTTATAGAGCCTGCTTCTTTTGGATATATATATATATATTATCGTTTAAGTCTATTTAATATATAGTTAAGTCTATACTCTATACTTTTGTGAATCGTCCTGGACCTCTCTAAAATGGATCTTCACAACCTCCGGTTTAGCATCGACATAGATGACGAAATGGCGCTCTAGAAATGCAAATCCAACCTTTGGCAATTTTCTTCAAATTCCTTCAACGGTTGTGTAGAACCATTTTCTAGGGGCCAGCTACTGGCCCTCCTACTCTTGTTTTATGTTGTACTTTCTTGGATCCGTGTGCAGTTTGTAGAGCACTTTGTTTTCAGGCATCCGCTGTCATTGTCTAGTCTTTTCTAGACCCCAACATGTTTATACTCATAAAATGGTCCGCCCAACCCCTCCTTGAAATCCTAATAGTGATAATTTGTATCGATTTCACTTTGTCAACCAATTGAACGAATTGGAACTTGAGATCTGCAGGGTCACTGGAGGTTCTCAAACTGAAGACTTGCCGTGAGGATGCCGCAGCGGTCACTTCATGCTCGACCCTGGATGCAAAACCAACAATCACCTTTTTTGCAAAACTTTCAGCTGATGCAGCGCGCTCAGAGACTTGGTGGCATCAAGTTAGGCATCCATCATTGAAAGCCAAGGTCATCAAGATTTTCCCCCAAAGCCCCTAGCGCTTTCCTTTGCTTTCACCTTTAGTGATCACAGAGCTACGCCGTGTTGAGTTTGATGGTGGATCGCACTGGTTCTTTTCATTCCTCTGACCTGAAACTTCTGATTTTCGTTATATCTTTCTGCTTGTTCTCTTTCTCTTTATTTTTATTTTTTGCTCTCTCTCCCTCTCTCTCTCTTTTTCTATCCGGGGTGGGATGGACGCCTAGCCTAAGATCATGGAACACGCTGGGCATCCACCCCATGAGATTCGCTACATTGATTCTTGAGGAATCTTGGGAAATATCGCTTCAGCACTGTGCGGCCGAAGAAGGGCTTCTCCCCGAACCTTTTGCTGGTCTCCAGACGGTTGATGTCTACGAAGGAAGCACTGAAGTTTGGCAAGGCGGCAGTTCTGTCAATGCCGCGTTTGTGGCTCACTGTTCCATCAATGAAAATGAAGGCTAATTGCTAGAGTAGAGATATTTCAGGAATCTGCAGTGCATTGCTAGGACCCTGTGGATCCAGCAGCCGCTTCAAGCTGAACCTCTTGAATCAATGACATGCACGTGACTCATTTGCGTACCAAACAAAACGCATTTCGAGCCACCTGAGGTGTAGACATGCTGAACTAGAAGGAATCCAAGTGTTTCAAACTGGACTGGTGTAGTACCAACGATGCACACAGCTCGACTCATTTGGAGATGACTATATACCTCACAGTGATGGCCTAGCTACTGCACCCTAGGGCCTAGGACTCGAGATAGGCATCGGGAACACACAAAACCTGTAGGGGAACCCGCCAAAAAATGCTTGGTCCCTCGACCACTTTTGATCATAGCTGACACCAGTAAATAGCCAGAAGTGGCTGCCATGAGGCTCGCGTTTCAGAAAAATGTCAAACGCTTGCATTTATATTTGTTGTTTGTGGAATGTTTTGGAATTTGAGCATTACAAGAAGAATGAGAAAAAGCAAAAACAATACGTAACTCCAAACAATGCACACAACCACCGAAATATATCCAACACAAATTTGAAAGATCTACGAGCAACAAAAGAACACAACACTCAAAAGGAAGGGAAACAAATATATAGACAAACGCACACACACCAAAAGAACAGAGCCAGAGCTCTTTATATTTGCCTACTCTGTTTCCCTTTGCACTATGTCGCATCTGCGCTTCACTCACTTCCCACAGAACCTGGGAAAAGACAAGCCCCGTCAAAAGATCAGAGACGGCAAACCAAGCTGTCTACCCCCGAATCGCTTGTTCACAAGAGGAAATGTGCCCAAAGCCCCCTCTACCACCCAAGTATCTTCTTGTATACAAATTCCCGCCTTGATCAGAGTTTATTCTTTGTCATTTCTAAAGGCCATCTTCCTTGTAACAAAATCCTCATTTCTCAAGTCTTCCTCCCAGCAAGTATCCTCAATCCAAAAACCTCCATCATGAGAGCTTCCTATTCCAACGGGGCGCAGATTCCATTTTTCTATTCACACATCCTTCTTATTTAAAAGGCGTTCTTCTTCAAATGTATATTTTTTCTCAGATCCACTCCTCTTTGAAGACCTCGTCCTTTTGTGGATAATGTTCTCCTTGAACCTCTGTAGGTAAAGACATCTAGCTTGGTCTGAAACAACTTTAAGGGTCAGCGTTTGTACGGATATCCGGATATCCCTCATTTGTAATGCAACTCATGACAGTAAACTTACAGAAATCGTCAAACATCAAAGCACAGGCCTGACGGACCCGGTTGCCCGCTCTCTAAGTAGGAACCAATCATAACCAGCCTAATTTGCGCAAAACCCACCGATGATAGAGAGGAAGACAAATTGTAGTTCCCGTGCTTGCATGAATGAGATTAGATAACTGCTAAACACAATGCGTGTAGCCACATTTCACACTTGGGTATAATAGTGTACTGCATTTGGCCTGTCAGGTCTTCCGAGATCAGATGGCAAAAAGAGAGATGAACAGCGCCAGACTCTTTCGCGAGGGCCGGGAGTATATGGGCTGCACCGCTGAACAGTTGAAAGAGTTCAAACGCCGCTTTCACTCTGGATCTGACGGAAGCATTGCAGCAAGTGAATGTGTTGGTGTTGAAGTGTTCATCCAATTGCATTCATTGTTTGAATCAAGAATGACATCAGAATTGGTTGCTTTGAACAAATGTGACTCTTGTCTTGCATTGTAGACCTTCTTCTTTGTCGAATCAAGGAGTCCTTTCATATCAAAATCCCAAGTCTTCCTTCACCGCCATGTACATTGTCACATCGGAGGGAGGGGACCACAACGGAGCCTTTGAGGGACTGGAAGGGGGATCAAAGCAACAAGGCTTTTGGTCCATGTGCGCCCGCTTGCTCCAAATGAGCGAGCTCTACAATGTGGTATCTTGGTTTGGAGAAAAAGCTAGAGCTTTGAAAGCGACCTTCTTAAATGAACTTGAACTTTCCATCGCTGGCCTGCCCTGTCATAGTTCAAAGAAAGATCCCGAGCCTGAGGTTTACAAACGTGTGGAAAATCTGAACGAGGCCACCACCTTCGTTCACGATGTGAAGAAGGGTGGACATTTTGGAGAGGCCATAAAACATGTGACGATCAGTGGCCACGGAAACCCCAGCACACTGGTCCTGGGAGATGACCGCTTGACGAGTCGGGAGTTGGTATCGAAGCACGACACAGACAGCAAGGAGCTTTTGAAACGAGTGCTTTACCAGTACCAGGATGCGCATGCTACAATCTGTATACAGTACTGTACCTGCAGCTCTATACAATACAATGGCTACTATGCATATATGGTATAAGTAAGCACGAAACAAGTATGATTCCACCGTAGCGTTGGGCTCGAAGGGCCCTCCCTCCTCTCCCCTTGTGGGAAAGAAACATGAGAGTTTGTGTGTATAAGATTTTTCTTCGGGATGGAATCCCGTGAAATCCTTCAGGAAGGGGCTTTCCTGTTGGATCCTCGCAAGAACTCGAGCCCCAAGGGACTCCTGGTTTGGCAGAGTAGCCCTGGGGGGGTGTAGGGAGGCTCCCCGGCTCTTTTGGTTTGGCGGAGAGTGTGGAGGGTCGGGGCCCCGAGAGGTTGGTAACTAGTCGATACGTTCCGTTCTTAGGCAAACTCTTTGCAACGCCTGGAAAAAACATACTTGTGATCGTGTATATATATATATATATAGCACCGTACACCTGGCAATATATATATATACACACACGAGCGTATATGCACGCAGAGAATTGAGCGTGATGAGCAAACAACAACCACAGCTCAGTCACAAGGAATCAGATTCAGATTGCTGGGTGCACCATGAGAAGTATTTGTGGATATATAGCTTCGAGCTGGTGCTTTGCACAGCTATGCGCTCGCGAACGCGATAGAGAGATCTCTCTCTTTTTGTCTGTGTCCTTGCCAAGGATATTTCTACGACTCCACGTTTTTTTTTTTCTGGTTGGCAGGTTTATTGTTCTTTCGCATGACTATTATTTTATCAGTAAGCATATATTTACTACTAATTACTAGCATTTACGACCATGTGTGCAGTCTGACAACATGGAAAGAACTTCCCGTTGCTTTGGCGGCCCGGAGCCATGAAGCTGCTAGCGTGGAGCGCGAACGTTTGCTCCAGTCGCTGGCAGTGGCCCTTCAGCGCGAAAATGCCCGGGCCGTCCTTCGACGCGTTGAGTGAGGCTTTTGTACTGCCGTGTACAGTTTTTTTTTTCCGCTTTCGAATCCTCCCTGTGTTTTGCGTCCGGGGGTCTTTGAAGTCCCAACTCCTGACGGATGCGCGGTGGTATTTTGTTCTTGATGCTGGTCCGTGTCGCTCCTGCTGTCCACCACTCCTTTTTTCTTGCACTTTTGCCCTAAGGGCTGTGCCCGGACACCCTTTCTACTCGGTGGCTAAGTCCCCTTCACTTACACGTGTTCCTTTCCTGATGTTGAAGCACCAGGAAGTGTGCATAGAGATCCTCCACTTAGATGACAATTAAGGAAGTGAGCAATGATGGAAGGCGTGAATCTTTGTTAATTAATTAGAATACGCGCGTTAGAGCATGCGTCATACACACACATACATATTTGCACCTTCACACACTGCATGTGTTGGGGTCAAGAAGAAAACTGTGAAAGGTCAACCTTGGTTTTTGCATACAAGTCGAAACCGTAAAACTGTCAAAGCCACTGACTCCCAAAAGCAGCCTAAAGGCAGGCCCAAAGCATCAAGTGGAGTCATTGTACGACCCTCACGCAAATGCGGGCAATCTGCGTTCAGATTGGTTGCGTGTCAGCTTCTAGTGGTGCCCCGTGCACTTGAGTCCCTCTAGTCACTATATAGTCACTAGTCAAATCTCAGTGCCATGCAAATCTGACGGAACACGTGCAAGTTTGAAAGGGTATGTAATTTAATGTGTCTGTGTCATTCATACAAACCCAGTAGAAGATTGAGATGAACGAAGCAGCACACACACACAGCTGCCTCAACTATGGCTGCAAAATTCTCAACAGGGCTCGATAGAGTTAAGTCAAGTACAGCCGTTCAATGTACAGCATCTTCACGGAGGTGCGTAAAATCTGTGTCCAGGTGGCATTTCAGCTTTCAGTGGTGCCCTCCTCATTGGACACTCAACACCGATGCAGATTGCATCGTGACTATTGAGTTCAAAAAGGGCTAAGACTGAAATGATCTCAGACCGATAGCTAGCACGGTTAGTGTTTGAAGCGCTTGAGAAAAGGTGTGATAAAACTTTCAATTCAGTGGACCTGAATCCTTCAAGTTCGCCTTTGTATCGCTGCAGTGCTGTCAGCGTGGAACCGCCTTAAATCCTAGCGGAGGTGTAGTTGTGGAGTGCTGGTTCAAAGCAGGACGTCCAAAAGTCCATGGTTTTCGTTGGTTCTGATTTAGCGGTCGGGCACTAAGCTCCCTGCCACGGCAAAACATGTGGCAAAAAGAATCCTTGGCTTGTGTTTTGGAAAGCACGCCAACTTGCCAACGTGGTGGAGTTGCAAATGAGGATAGGGAAAGCAAAGAGATAGATTTAGAACCCAAGGAAAGGCATCACAAATCTAGGCTGTTCAGGTGAAGGTGTGCAACATCCTCAAGCTTCAACTCTCCGGCTGCAGCCACTGTGATTTGTTCCAAGTACCAAACCCTGTATGCCGGTGTGTTACCCGATCGCAAGTACTTTTAGCTTTGTGGGCAGATGTCCGTACTGCAAAAATGCCTCAGGCCTCCAAACTCCAACAACACCACGGCACAGCCGAGCAGGAAAAAAACAGCACAAGAAAAAACTTGCAGAAAGTTGCAAAACCACAAGTGATTGATTCGAAAGTGTGGTAGCTCAAGCAAGCTGTATGTAGACCTTGTGAACTCGCGAAGGGCTCACAAAGCCCAAATGCCTTGCAGTACAGCGTACAACTGTAGACTTGAGAATTAATGATTAATGTGACTGTGGGCAAGTACTTTCGTGCCTCTGCCTTTGCATGACAGTAAATTTCAGGTTTTCGCGCTGGCTTCTTGCAGCTCTGCAGCCAAAACGACAGTGCCACACAAGAACCCAATATGTAATATGGTAATATATCGAAAAGGCTTCCTGGTAGATCCTGGTAATCCATCCACCCAAAGACATGAGCAAATTTGTTGACGTGTGTTGCTGATAGTTGATAGTGGCGTGCCTATTAGTCATCGCAGCAAACGGCACATTACGGAGTCGAGAGGCATGGCCAGCATATGTACAGACAACAGATACACATGCTGGTCCGGAGTTCTGAGCATCAAAGGACAAAGAGCTCTCCGAAAAGACAACCGCTCCGAAGTGATAGGGAGTGAGAAGAAGTGGCGAGGTTTCCGTGGGAGTGCAAGGTGTGGAGCTTTCTTGTCCGATGCCATATCTGGAGGTTCTTTGGTCTCTGGAAGAACGTGCGCACATGAGGCAATATGTAAACTAGAATGTTGTACACACGCCTATGCCCTATGACTCTATGACCTATGCTTATTGCGCTCCCTGGCCATTCATGAAGCAAAGCGGATGGATGGAATTTGGACAGTCAGAATTGACTTCAGGACTTGGATAAAGTCGAGTTCCGCAACTGCGCAGGATTCCGCAACTAGGATTCCGCAACTGTTTGGTCGGATTCCGCAACTAGGATTCCGAAAACAAGGATTCCGCAACTAGGATTCCGCAACTAGGATTCCGCAACTAGGATTCTGAAACTAGGATTCCGCAACTGTCAAGATTCCGCAACTAGGATTCCGCAACTAGGATTCTGCAACTGGGATTCCGCAACTGGCGTTCCGCAACTAGGATTCCGCAACATTGCGGACTCCTCACTAGGATTCCGCAACTTTGTGAATGATGAGGGGGTTGGACTGATGTCGAGATCACACGATGGGGACAAGGGGGGGTTGGGGGGTGGGGGGGGTGGGTGGGGGACTAATGACGCTGGTTTGGATTCGGATGTGCTTCGAAGGTGATGTCACAGGCACACACGCTATCGCATGATGTGGAGATCACCAGTTGCAAGTTTCAGAAGGCAAGTTGCGGAATCTGACTTTCCAGTTTCAGAATACCAGTTGCAGAATCTGACTTTCCAGTTTCAGAATACAAGTTTCAGAATCCCAGTTTCAGAATCCTAGTTTCAGAACCCCAGTTTCAGAATCCTAGTTTCAGAACCCCAGTTTCAGAATCCTGGTTTCAGAATCCAAGTTTCAGAACATTAGTTTCAGAACCCCAGTTTCAGAACCCTAGTTTCAGAATCCGACCGATTAGTTTCCGAATACGGCTCTAACCTTCAGGACTTCCTGAAGGAGCTGAAGCCGGCATTGATCCACGATGGGGAAGCCCGCTCTACTGTGTTTTTGGATTCGTGTTCCACGGGGAAAACCCCACCATCTGGCGACAAATCCTTGGCTCAGCTGGTTGCAGATACCTTGCCAGGAGTGGAAGCGTGGATGCAATGTAGATCAAATCCCTATGCCCCATGTTGCATTTTTGCAATTGCAGAATTTGCATTCGCTTCCTAGCACTAGGAGCAAGGACGCTATCAGGGGCTCCTGGCCTTACTACTAGGAACAAGAAGCTACTAGGAGCAAAGGGCATCGCTACTAGGAGCAAGGATGCTACTACATAGGGGTTTCAGACCTTTCTTGATTTTGTTGGATTCTTTGGCATGTCTATCACCAACGATGGAAGCTAGAGTCTCATGGGGTGGCCATAGTTGTCGGGGCATGTCGGGGCTACTTGTAGAGTCACGAGAAGCTCCGGAGCGGCTGTTTTGCGAACAGCTGGGAACCCTATAAAACCCTCTTTGTCCCTGGCCCCCTGCCAAAGTCGATCCAGAGTCTAGGGTCTACAAAGAGTTAGCTCGACGATCTGGACGGCATTTAACGAACTGCAAACCTAGAAAGCAGAGTAATCTGAGTATATATATATATGCGGTCTTCTTGTCATTTGCAGTTCGTCTCCATTCTGGGGGTGTCAAATCAATCAATAGCATGGGCATGGGACAAAAATTGCAGAATGGCCGAAAGGCTGGTGTTTTGGCGGTGGTACCCTTCCCTGGCTGGGCCAGCATTGATGAAGCAAATCTGAGGAAGTGCATGCCTTTGAGGAGCCGAAGAAGGGTTGATCCATTTGCAGAATAGTGGTATCTTTGACTGTCTCCAGGGGAAACAAATGGTCTCAATACCAAGGAGACTCACAGGCTGGGATGCTTGGTCTTTGGAGTCTGTCTAGAGTCTAGAGACGAACCACTGAGAAAGAATGTTGTGTGTAAAAATATGTAGCACACCACACTGGTGTCACGGTATGTTTTCCTGATGGCTTACTCGTGAGTGCCGCAGCATCAGTAAAGTTGCAGACATTAGTGCAACAGACATGTCCCTCGCGATGACAGTCAACTAGCTCATAGCGAAACGAAGAGGACCTCATGTGGCCAAAATGGATCCAGCTCCGCAGCAACTTTGTGCAAGATGCGAAGTCTCAAAGCTGGATTGAACCATATTGTGCTTTAGGCATTTTGGTGTTCTCCCTGTCCTCCTGGCAATCTGCATCTCACAAAGAAGCCCAACCTGAAGTTTTGCAGTTGGAGTGACACTCCGTTGGCCACTTGTGCCACGGCTAAGGTTCCAGTGCAAAACAGATATCAGAGGCCAGGGAAATCAGTGCCTGCGTGCCAGTGTCTTCATGTCCAAGGACGTGTCCCAACCATCTTTGCTTCAGAGGTCTGAAAAGCTGGCATCTAATTCCTCCGATGAGGAGGACACGAGTCCTTGTGCACTGGTTGGTTTTTGCATCCGGGGGAGAATTCGGTCTACCGAGTATGGATTGAACATGATCTAACGATGTCTAACGCATCCATTTTGCGCCACCGAAACCATGGGTACCAAGAGGACGTAGACCTCGAGTTTTTTTTTTTTTTTTTTAAGCATATTAGTGTATATATATATAATATACATATTGTTCGATGGAACAAGTTGGAGTTGGACGAACAAATTCCCAGCATTCAATTCAATCTCAACATGTGTTTGACAATCCCCGTTGCGACTGGCTTGCTAAAATGAGTGTGGTCGACCACGTAAAACCATTTTTTTGTTGACTCATTTAGGTTAAGGGTTATCTAAAACGGGTCTTAAATGATATGGTTGGCAGCGACAGATTTGTCATCTTTTTTTGATTAAAGACCCTGGTGTGTGAAAAGCCATTAGTATATAACGGATAAAATGAGGGGGGTGAACCTCAGTAGTCGGTAGCAACGGGGATTTTTACAAAATGGATGTCCGTCAGATGTCCGTGAAGGAGTTTGTTTTCTATGATGGGGTGACTTTCTTCGCCGATCCACAAATGTGTGCTGAGTCTTGGCTTGCGAAACGTTTTTGGGAAGATGAGATGGCGAGGAAAACTGCATTCCACCCTTTTCGTTCTGAGGACTGCCCTGTTTCAGTGCATATAATAATATAATTACGTGTATGTATACATACCGTAATTATGACTTATGCAGTACCCTTCAGGTGTGGAATCCTGGCGACACTTTTTGTGTATTTGTGCAAGTCGTAAATGAATCCAAGGAGTGGTGTGAAATGATTTCAGAATGTCATCTCTTTGAGTTTGTGGATTTGATCGAAGATGAGACTATTGAGATGGGCCAGTGCACATTGCGAGTGCGGGATGTTGATATCGTTGAGACGGAGTCGACAGGTGTGGGGTGAGGGACGCTAGCGGAGAAAGGTTCCCATTCCCAGAACCCTGTGAGGTCTGACTGACATTGAGGAGGACTTCGGCGAAGACTTTTCCAACATGGAAGAACTTGACTGATTGGCCAGTTGTATTCAATGTCTTTGAAACTGCGATTCTCCCAAGAGAATCAAGTTGTGTGTGGCTATTCTGACAAGAGCAGGGCGAAATGGCTGCACCGTGCTGCACAAATTCGTGTTATGGGCAGCCCTTGACATATTTTGACAAACATTTGCACATTTGCCACCAGGTCTGTAAGCATGAATTTAGGCAGGGTGGGGCCCACCCGGCAAGCATCAAACCTGATATATACAAAACATGCATTGAAGTGAGGCATAGCCGTTGACATTTGACTACAATTTGTTGGGATTGAGGATGCGGAAGCTGAAGGAAAAGTACAACTAGGCGCGCGTTTTGGGCCTGGGTTCGTTCGATCTGCCTTTCAGAGTACAGGAAGAACTCCTTTCTGGAGAAGCCGCCTTCTCTAAGAAACGGCCCTCATCAAGTTCTATCTAACACAGCTTCACTGTTCACGAAGACAATGAATCATAGTGTGAGCGGTCGAAGCTGGAGGTCCCAGACCTGACAAGATAGCACACTGCCGCAGTGGGCTCCAGAGTCCCCATGGAGCCTTTGCGCAATTTGCGCACAAATTTCGTTGTGCTGCCTGACTTGCCGCTGGAGGACGTGCTAGAGATTTTTCAGTCCCTCAGCCAGAGAAGATGGGGCAGGTATTTTATAATTAAACGGCTGAGCAAACTTGCATAATTCTCAAGTGACCGGGGTGCAAGATAGGCGGACTCTGATCAGATTGGCAGTCGAATGGCAGTACAGGAGAGATCAAGCAGATCACCTGCGGTTCAGACAACGCTCAAAGCTTGTTGGTCAATATTCATCTATAGACACGACATGACCATCAGCTTGGCATTGCTTGGCCCTGTCACACAGATCCAAATGCCAATTAGTTACTGTACATAATGACTTAATGTTGATATAATGACTTGAGAACTCCAAAGACAATTTTCATGTTGGCCAATGGTGATCGCAACTTTGGTCAAAGGTGGCTGGAACAGGAGAAAAGTGCTCCACTCAAAGTAGCAATGAAGCATTTTGTGACAAGTCTTTTATACACCTGGTGATTGAAGACTCGTGAGGTTCATCAAGTATGATAGTGGGTGGTTGCCTCAACGAGTTGAGCTGAGGTACAAGTGTATGGTTTCATCCGTGTTTCTACCCACACTTTACGAATCACTCAGTCCCATGCCCACGACGCCAACCGCAGCGCGAGGTTCATCGGCATCTCCCAGCCAGAGATTCTCCAGCTGGTGGACATGTCGAAAGCCATGAAGGAACGAATCTCTACAAGCGATTGAAAGATCAAGTCCCTGGCCACATGTTTCAACTCTGGACCTGCTTCTACTGAGACACTTTTGCTTCCTGGAGAGAAGCTCGAACACTTCCAGCAAATTCAGCCGCTTCGGTTGACTCGACTGCAAGTGATTTCAAATCCCAACAATATCTTGAATTTGTTTGAATTTGCAGGATGTACCGTACCACTCAAACCCGACGAGTTTTACGAAACATGATGGACAGAGCATCCGCGCACGAAATCTACCGAAAACACTGCCTGGCCTTTTGCATTATCTGGGTTCTACCCTGCACCAAAATGGCAGGATGGCATGGTGGACTGTTTGAAGATCTTTGATTGGATATGTGACACTTCGGGTGACCAGGCTGCTTCAAGGGTACTGTACCGGTCGATCTGAATCTAGATTCTAGATGCTGGTCGTCTGAACCTTCATTGAAAACTCCATCGCTCATTCCACCTTGAGTGCGACTCATGCATTGCCTTGGAAGTTAGAAGGCCAATGAAGGCCATACTCTTTTTCTTCAGTGCTAATAGCTTGGGGTTGTACATACTTTGGGTGGTCGCGAACCATCGGGTCGACGGATGTCAACGGTGGCTGGCACGTGGTGATATGCGGTGTCTTGGTCTGTTGGTGATGTCTCGATCATCTCTGTTGCTCGGTGGTGTCTTGTCATGTTCGGTCATGTTTAGCACGTGTCTCAGTGTTTCAGTCATGTCTAGAGCCACCTATGAACCGTGCAATTTATATAATGCCGCGCATGTTCAGACGCTGAGAGGTGTTGAATGCTTTGAGGTTTTGGGATGCAATGATCTTTTTATAAAGATCTGTGTATATACTATATTTATTATCTTCGGATAATTACCTCACACGTGGCAATGCTTTAGAGTTACTTGTGCTAAATGTGTCGAGACGGTGTCATGAAATTGGTGTTTGTTTGGGTCATGAATGGTGGGCGGTCTTGTTGGTCTTCTTGGTTTTCTAGTATGGTGTTTGTGTGGTTTGTTGGTGTTTGGGCGTTGTCAGCTGGGTTGCTTGTTAAACAGTCATTCATCCCCACATCCAGGTTAAGTTTCAGGTTCGATTGGCTCGACCTTGCTTGGCAGGCTGACAATTCCAGCAACCAGGATCAGATCTCTCCGACTTCTCAGTGGCTTGAGAAGGACGAGATCTTTGAATTCCAATTCCCTGCTGAGGCACTTTGTTCTTTTCAGTTTCTTTTGCCAATTGCAATTGAAATCTTTTTCTCATTGGTTCCCGGCCGCAGAAGCAGAGGTTTTAAAGTGCACTCGAGAATTTCTCAATTCTGGAGGTTGAGGACAGGTCCCATGATGCTCCATGTGTAAGGTAGGGCAGGTAGGGGTCCGGTCCGTGCGGCTAAAGGAGGTTCCAAGTGTATGGTTTCAAAGGAGTTCGGGCGGACTGCACTAAGTTCTAGGCACTCTAGGCATATTATAGGCTCAGTTCAGGTGTAGGTTCCATGTAGGCACTGGGTTCCACATGATTGCGGGTCGTTACCAGGACTAGGGAGATTCCGGAAGGCTTCAAGCCAAGTGTTTGTTTGTATCTTTTTTTGGTATCATTCAACTGCAAGAGATTCCGCAGTGTTCATCTCGTTCTACCGCTTTCCAGTTGGCCATAAATGTCCAAGCGATGCCTGAAGAACTCTTGACCCAGCTGGCGGGAAGTGGATGTCAAATTCCTGAGGTCGAGGACAGTGCAGAGACTTGTTGCTATTGAAGAGACAAAGATAGCAACACCTTAACGAGAAAGACAGAGAGGGATATTGTGATAGCAAACATGGTCAGACAGGGTTTTGATACGGTTTGATTCATATCAGTAGCATATTGCCATATCGTTTTGCGGAAGTTGGAAGGTAGTTACTGTATCCATTCCTTAAGCCCACAACCTAAACCGATTAAGCATTTTGTGAGGGCATCCGGTTGCGGAAGTCCACCTCAGGATCTTAGGACATTTTGCGTAGGACTTCTTCTTGCTACTGCTGTAGTAGCTTCTTGTTACTAATAGCAATGGCCTCTAACCTACTACTTGCGATGGCCTCCACCTAATAGTGTCCTTGCTAGACTGGGAGTATGGAGTGGACATGAGTAGACAGAAAGTGCATGGGGGGGTCGTAGAAGCCTCGACTCACTGCGAGAAGTTGAGAAGGAATCTGCGTATAAACTTTGCATCCTTTGTCTTGGTTGATTAGATTACTTTAAAAATACTGTACATAGATTCTTGAAAGCCTTGACGCTGTCCAGGATCGAGCGATCGAGCTCAAGCAGTTGCTCTTTGTGTTAGCCTGCATTCGCTGCGGATTCCAAACAACATTCAGCTCAGCATCGGGCAGAGTTTTGGAAAATACAAAAAATATACTGTAGGTGTATTTACTTGTTTACTTTGAATGTTCCCTTAAAGCAGAACTGGAATCGAAGAGAACCAAAGCACAACCATTTGCAGGAGTAGGATGAGGACATCGATTGATTTCGGATGTGTTCAGCACGCCCTAAAACTTGCAGCGGGGGGCAGGGTGACCCTTCACATCCTTCACTGAATGATCTGACGCTATCAGCTTCCTGTATATAGTCTATTGGACAAAGACAAAGAGATGAACAAAAGCAGGTAGTGGCACCTTTAACAAGCCCCGTTTACAATGGGCCTGATGAAAGGCATCCTTGCCTTCTTTTCTGATCTCTTTGTCCAAGCAACACCATGTGATGTGTGATGATCTGAGGATGCCTTCAACATTCTTGGTCTGATCAGCAAGGCAGATCGGAGGGTTGCGAAACGTTTACACTAACGGCTGGATGCTCCGGAGAACATGGCATTGATTCATGTAGCTTTGAGGCCTTATTCAGCGCAGTCACCTGAACCTTTTGTTGACAAGTTGACACTGCTCCCAACAGATCCCTGCTTGGATTGAACATGGAGCTTTAGTGGTTTCCAGGTGCTACAAGAACCCCGCACAATGTGAGTGCACTTGCTGAGGCCGTGCTTTGACACCTGAAGAAGTGAACCTCTACCACTTGGTGGATTTGCTGGTGAAGCCTGCAACTCGTTTGCAGTGCTTTGGAAAAGGTGTTGTTCAGATCAGCATGTCAATCATCAATGACCTAGTTAATGGTCAGGTCGGACATGCAAACAAACCGGCACAGAAAGCCAGTCTACAGGTAGTGAATGAGCCAGCGGTCTTGGTCATCCACAGGGGAGACCATGCAGATCTATTTCAGTGTTCTTCAATGGGTTTATAATGGTTTAGACCAGGCTACCGTATGACCCCGCAGCTGCAAGGCCACCGCTGCAAGAGAGTGCAGCTTTGTGGAATTGATGGCTGAGGGGCCTCAGCCATGCAAATGGTTTGTCTCCCACTGGCCACGCAGCTTCAACGGTTTTTGACAGAAAGGGTTCTGCGAACAGTCTCAGATCAAGAGTGAATTAAGTAAACCACCTTTGACATGCAATGGCAATGGCCCAACCATGCTTTGCTTCCAGGTGGGGCGAGCCAGTGTGCGATTTTACTGCTTGCTTGCGACAGCATTCCAAAGATCGGAACCTCAGAAAGGCAACACTCTACTACTGGGTTTGTGCTTATGCCAACAACCAGTGGAACGTCCGCGGCGAGATCGGAGCCGATGGGGGGGGGCCTGAACTGACTTGCGATTGCAAACACAGCACTATTGGACTGGACCTGTTCTCGATCCTGCGTTGTAGTAGAACCCTATTGCAGTCCGTGAGAGGAGAAGATCCTTCCGACAGCAGCTTCAGACGGGCCATGAGAAAAGCCTCCGGTACAGTCTCAATTGTGGATAAGAGCGCTGTATGCTACACGCATCTCAGATTTGATAGCCTTTCAGCATGCGGTTTGCCATGGGAACAAGAAAAAGCTTTACCAAGTTGGCATTATCCAGCAGGGATTATTGTAAGAATTGCATAGTGCTCCGAACTCCCTCGACTTAAAACATCTTAAAACCAAGCTTCATTTTCCTGCTTGCCTTCACATTAGCAACGTGGAAAGGTTTTTTGCAGTGCAAGGTGGTACAGAATATGTATTTATATATGTATTATGTGTATATAATACAATATATAGTTATATGTATGTATTATATATTTATTATAGCACCCTCAGAGATACTGTACTACCTGTTGGTGACCTTTGCTGATCTTTGCGTTGCGTTTGCTCTTTTTGGTCTGCATTTAAAGCAGTGTTTTGAGGTGTTTGGTACTTACGGGCAGGGGGGTGGCAAATCAACCAGATTGGGATCCAGGTCTTGGGACTGCAAGGGTGTTTCCAAACGTTTGCAAACGGCCCAAGTTACAGGATCCAAGATTCCAAGAAAGAAAGCTCTTGGATCCTGCTGACTGTAGGAATCTTAGATCTTTGGTCCTGAAGCCATTGGATCCAAAACGTCCTTTCTGGATCTTGGATCTTGGATCAGGAGCCTTGAATCCAAACGTCTTTTTCTTAGATAGCCCTTGGTGCACCAAAGGCGTTTGCAAACTCTTGCCACTCCACCCCCAGGTTGCTTGACTTCGATGTCAGTACATCAGCCAGAAGTGGTTTGCGTCTCTCAGCATGTCAGTCTTGCCTGCGAATCTTCTGGCACATACAAAACCAACTTCCCGAGTGCAAACATTTGCAAAGACCTTGCGTGAATTGGCTACATGTTCTGTCTCCCATCCGGTTCGAACTCGTCGTGCGCAGTCAAGTCTTTGCCGACATGTGTTTCCAATCAATTTCGTTTGCCTTTGGTCTTGCAACGTCGCGCTCCTTGACGGATGATGGCATTGCTGATGCTGGCTCCAAGCTGTGAATCCCAGCCAGCTTCTAGCGTCATGGATTGCAACGAGCCAATCCCACTTTGAGACATGCGGCCAATGCATGCCGGCCACCGTCCAATCCAAAAGCGTCAAATCTATTCGACTGCTCTTCGGTGTCCACGTTGGAACTGAGCTATGCGGCAAAGCCACCGCTGTGGGTGAGATGCTTCAAGTTCAAGGCCGATCCCCCGCCGCCACAGACAAAGGTAGCTTGATCTGGTACTGTGCGCAAGGTTCTTTACTTGCCCTGTCGTGTGTTTTTCCAGCCTTTGTTACATTTTTTGGTCCTGGCCCCTGGAATAGCAAGAAGGGCGTTCAGTAGCGACAACGTTCAACACTGTAAGAAGGTGAAAGGAAAGTTGACTTGGAAATTCCCCACTTATGTCAAGGTGGCCTTGGGCACAAGGACCCTGCGACTGGCAGGAAGTCGGGGGTGGCCCGCAGATCATGGACTGTGCTTGAGTACAGGTACTGAAGGAAAGGTTCCAGCAAGGGAAAGACCCATAGTGGCTTGGCAAAAGGAAGCTGGTTGGACCCATCGTCATCTGTCGTCACATTCTTTGCGCTGAGCCTTCTCTTATGGCGCGTTCAGTCACAATGCATATTATGTCATTGCGACTGCAGTTACGTGTCCAATGAATGCATATGTTTATGTCACATCCTTACCTCTGCCAATGTGTCACTTCAATGCGTGTATATATGATTATTATGTGTTTTGCTTTTTAAAAAAAATTGGCATTTCACAGAGCATGTGTTAATGCATTTGCCATTGTGCTAATGATAATGTGTATGTCAATATGTTTGCCAATGTGTCACATCAGTACCAAACCAAGGACCCGCCAAACCTGCCAATTTTGTTGGGAGAGTTGCAAGTGTATGTATATAATTGTATATATATAAGCCTTCCCAAGATAATCAGATAGGCTAGAGGAAACATTGCGTTGCAATCTGTCCGGAAGACACTGGCACCAGACTGAATGTTTCTCAGTACCGCAAGTTTAGAAGCTTCTTGTTACTATAATATTCTTGTTACTAGTTGCTTCTTGCTCCTAGTAGTAAGGCCCTTGTTACTAGTAGCGATGCCAGGAGCCCCTAGTAGCTTCTTGTTGCTACTAGTAAGGCCTTGTTGCTAGTCGAAAATCAAACAAGACGAAGCGACGGGCGTTCCCTGTCTCTGTGAGAGGTAGAGTTCGGTCGCAGGATTGTTTCAGGTTTGAATTCTTCTCATGGCTAGATAGTGATTATTGGTTGATTTGTCAGGGTGTACCCCGCAAACCTTCAGTGAAGCAGGGTATTCACTGCAGGCGCATTTGGTGTATCTATGAGACCTACATTTCGACGCTGGAGCAAGCTTCCCACACTCATGGCGCCATGACTGCCACGCCTAAATTCATTGGTCGGTTGCCCAAGAAGAAGTAACTACAATTTTTTCCTTGATTATATTACCTGAACGTTTTCTAAATTTCATTGAATTGGCGAATGTTACATGTATGAGCTCCCCATACTCGCAAGATGAACAGTGCAGTCAGGTGGGACCATGCAGACAGGTGTTTTGCAGAAAGGCCTACAGTTTGTTTGGCCATAAGGGGTCTATCTCTCTCTCTATATATATAATATATAATTTCTATTTTTTTTGGATGTTTTTCTTTGTTTGACATTGCTTGAGCAGGTAGATCTATGTATAAAACAATTTTTTTTGTTTGCAGCGGCAAGAATTGTCTATGTTTGGGGTCCTCGCAACATCCAGGTAGACCAACATCTCCTCTCCTTTTGAGATTGAACCATAGTATATAATCCACGCTATTGGGACCACAACTTCAAACAAAACCAGATTGTGACATGATGAGTCATGATGAGTCCTCATGATTTGAAAGAGTCATATCATATCTACATCTATGTTGTCATTTTCAGGCGAACGCTACCTCTTCGACATCTACACCAATGAGAACCCCGATGCACGGGAGGCTGTAGGTATCACTGATGGCCTAGCAGCCATCGACGGCACGGGCCCGAAGCAAGCGAGGAGAAAGCGGCACCGTGAATGGCGCTTTCCTTTCGAGCTGAGGCTCGGCAAGTGAAGTGAGCGAAAATGAGAGAAATGTTTGAGGCCAAGCGAGACATACTTATCAAAGACGCCGGGCTTGCCTCCGAGGTAGTCGAAGTTTGTTCAGTGGAGTAGCTTTTGTTTCATTGAATGACAACACTTAGATTAGACTGTAACTCACCAATGTATTTCATGTGGCGGAGGCTCGCTAAGCCTCTGGCGTAGGCTGTTACTGTAGATTTCACAGAGGCGAAGCCAATTTGCGAATGCCAACTTAGAGTGTATGACATGTTGCAAAACCAACCAATTCGCAAAGCCTCTGGTGTTGTGCGAAGCCACCCTTCCCACAAATTCTGACTCTGCGAAATCCCCAGAATAGGCAACCATGCAGGTATAGGCACTTTACCTTCAGAAAAGAACATGTCTCAGAGGGGGTTGACAATTCGCACAAATACGCAGATCCATCATAAATGCTGGAACAGAACCACAGCGGGGGGGCTCAGGCAGGGCCTGTGGGGCCTTCTCATCAATGCTGGGGATGATGTACATTTGGTGGAAGGCGAGCAGGTTGCACATGCCTTGAATGTACATGCTGCAGCTCACGCTTGTCTGACAAAGACAAGATTTGTACTATTGAATAAATCAAGGGTCCCACAAAGCTGAACTCGGCCCTTTTGGCATGGTCAAGTTGGTGTAGATTGATTCTCCCCAAGCTTCCCTACATTAGATAAAGATAAACAAGTAAGTTATGGTAGGTATGTGTACTCTTTGTTTGCAAGCCTGCAAGCAACTGAGGATACAGAAGGCCTTGGACACCTCGCTGCACGAGATGGGGCTGGTGGGGGGGACTATTTGCATTGCTTGAGGCTAGGTCAAGCGGAAGCCATGCTTGGACGAGCTTCCAGTCTCTCCCACTCCCTTTGAGTATGTTGGTATGCTGCACTTCTTTGCACCATTGTTCAGGAACTTTTGCCCATCACTAGCTAAAGTCTGGCCTGGTTGGATTTTGATCTAAACCACCAACATGACCAACATGTCCAAGGCATTGCCAATGCTCACACACGCACACCCTTACTTTAGGAGGATGTTGCAACGGTGAGGCTGCATGATGTGTGATGTGTGATACATACATTTCATGCCAGTTGGTTTGCCCAGAAAATGCAGTCAGCAGTTTTTGAGGGAGCCTCAACACATTTTGACACCCAGGGATTGTTTGTGTATGTTGGCTCCACTGTGACACAGGGACAGCTTTTGGCAGTTGTTTGACCATATGCTTGTTGGGGTCAGAACTCATGTCCGATAGTTGTTGCAGGGAGATTGTCCCTGTAAACTAGCTCAATGGTACAGGTACAAGTACAACCCTGTAGGCCATCGAGGAACCACTAAAGTCGCCAATGGACAAAGAAGATGCCTTGTATCACTGCGTGCGTTAGAACGGACTTTATTCCATCCAAAAAGATCAGCACTATCGCCGTGTCCAGAAGAAAACCTAGTGCTTTCTGCTTTAGCACAAAAGCCTCTAAAGGATCCAGGATTTTCACACAATCCCTTTCGCTAAGTTGGATGATGAAAGATGAAAGGAGCCAAGAATCCACATGTGTTTGATTGTTTGTGTGATTGTAGACGTCGGAAACGACGGAGCAGCACTGAGGATATCAGGGTGGAGAAGGCTTTTGCAAGTCAGGATGGTGGGCTTACACAGGGGGGAGTTGAAAGGCTGAAGGGTTGAATTGAAGCTTGCTCGCTTTTCCAAGAACCACAACTGAACTCATTGTGCTCACAGCCACCTACAAACATTGCAAGGGCTGATTTCACCATTCCAAGGGCAGAAGAGCAAAGTTTGAAAGTGACACGGAGAACTCCCTGCAGGAAGAGGATCGGCGCATGATCTTGAACTCCATTGCAGGGCTGGAGGAATTGACACTTCCTCCCGCTGAAGTGCACGAAGGCGCTGCAGATAGCACTGCACTGCATGGACGATGGCAATGTGGTGCCATCGTGAACATTTGACAAGCTTCATGCCATTCATGCTTTTAGGGATTTACTGGCTTTTCATGCATCCAGCTGAGCAATCTTATTCTTGGACTTTTCTGACATTTGATGCTTCAACCTGGTACTGCTTAAGTGATTTTGACTCTAGATTTCTGCATTTGTTGATACCTGCCCGTGCTATGTTTATCTCAGGCCCTTGTGCGCTGATGACACCAACGGGTGTCATGGTATTATTGAAGAAGGATAAGGAGAAGGAGAAGACGAAGGTAAAAAAATAGCAATATAATCAGCAATAAGAAACAGATGACAATTAAACAAGTACACTACCTTTGAAGCCAAGATTCTACCTTTACGTCACTGAAGGCAACAGCTTGCCGCATGAAGAACCTGCGCTTGACTCCGTCCTTGCACGTAACTAGCTACTTGCTTGATGCACTAGCGTCCTGCCCTCCGGGCAACAAAGACGAAAAGAACACCGCAATCTCCCTTTTGTTGCAGCTTTGCTTGATCCTCCTTGCGCTTTCCGCCAGGCTACAATCTTCTGAACAATGTGCTTCATGGTCGCTTCTCGGCTGCTTCCTTTGCGAAAGCCTCTGCAACGCCTGGCGTTGACCTGGCGCGGCACGCGGAAGCTTTATCCTTTTCCTTGCTGGAGTCGCTCACCATCCACTTCGGTGCGGATGGACCTGAGGGACGGTTGGACGCAGCATGGCGTGGTTCGATCGGTAAGTACACACAGGCCTAGGGCCTAGACACGAGAATCCAGTCTGGCAGAGTAATGTCCGATCTTAAATAGTAACTCTCCCTAGCCAACAATTGAGGGAGACTGAATAGAGTCAACCCACCACAAACTATATATTTAATAGGAATTATATAACTATATGGAATTGTTATAGTAGTCGTAGTGGTGGTGGTAACTGGTAGTATTAGTGGTGGTAGCAGCAGCAGTAGCAGTAGCAGTAGCAGTAGCAGCAGCAGCAGCAGCAGTAGGAGTAGGAGTAGCATTACTATTATTAGTGGTAGTAGTAGGAGTAGTAGTCGTAGTAGTAGTGGTAGTGGTACAGTAGTGGTAGTGGTAGTCGTAGTCGTAGTAGTAGTAGTAGCAGCAGCAGAAAGACAAGCAGGCATTTGGCAATGATCACAATAGAAAAGTTAGCTAGGATATTTCTTTCTAGGGCTCGAAGTTGGCGCATCATCTCCCTAAACAATTCGTTTTACTCACTTCCCGTGGGCTTATGTACTACCCCCTTGAAAATTGTCTAAAATTGTTTGGAACGAACAATGATTGCGATGAGGTTCAATAAGGTTTTTTTTCATCAGTTTTCAGGTGAGAGTTACATCAATCACGCAAACCTCGGAAGAGGTTAAGCAAGGATTTTAAAGGGCAGCAATAGCAGAACAATAGACATGTAAACTTAGGTACTTAGGTACTTTCCCAATCAATGGACCAAACAGTATATATATATATATATGCATTTCCTCACAGGGATTCGACATTAGCGTTGGGCCTCTTGGATCTTTTTTGATTCCATTTCCTCCAGACTCCAGGACTTGGTTTAATCCACGCTGATTCAACTGTAGGGGTTTGGCACTCATTGTTGGCACTCATTGACCCTTCATGAAGGAAAGCGTATCCTGAGTCCGTCAGGTGGGGATTGCCTGGAGAAGCTGATGGACAAGGCCGTAGCCACCTGCCGGCAGGTCAGACGCAGCTGGTGAGATGGTGTTTTAGTCAGTCATACCAGGGAAGAAACACAACACACGGTTTTCTAAACTTCCGAGGACCCTTTGCTTCAGCTGACGGTGTCGTTCTTTGACACATGTAGGGGTTGGAAGGATTGACTCTAGCAAGGTGTGACCTTCGGCGGAGTTTTCAAAGATGATGGGGATGACTACCATCTTCTTCTCCATCAGACTTCATAGGGCTCGACTTGGACAGCACACAATCACTTGAAGTGTCACCTGTTGCTCCGCAATATTTTGGTGCAAAGATGTGCACTTGGTGCTGTTTCTGTTACTGTATGGTATGCCTTTATAGCCCGGTGGTCCTTATACAGCTGAGGTGATTTTGGCGGAGAACCTCCCAGAGACACTCACGGATCTCTTCTTGGGATTTCAGAGCTGCAGGAAGCGCTTGTTCCACATACGGTGCTGGTTCTGACTATTGTTATTTTTTATTCGCACCCAATCAGCCGCAGTGTGCGGAGGAAACTGACGGACATGTCGGCTGTGGCCTTGGGTGGTGCTTTGCATCGGCTGAAGAAGTTGAAGCGCGACTTGGTGAAGACTAGGCACGATGAACTTCCAAGGGGCAGGTGGCCAGGCCCAACAAAGGGGCAGTGGTGCGCTTTTGCTTGATTATGCTAGAATCGAGCTACCTTGAGTCACACAAGTAGCTGTAGCTGCTGAAGCTGCTTTACCGGAGTCGGCTGTACATCCAGCTTCAACTGCTAATACCCACAAGGCTCTTCAGATAATCTGATCCCGAGTTGCTGAGGATTGGAAATCCGACTCTCCTCAGGGCCCGACATTTCAGACGAAGGACGGGCTTCCACTCGTTGGACTATCCCTTAGCTCATGGCATGGCACAGAGATATCCATGATGAGAAGATTAGGGCGTGATTCATGCCAAGCTCCCCTACATTGCATGCTGCTATAGTGCCAGCAAAGCTCTTTCAAGGTGCTCCACAGACACCCATAGTGGCCCAGAACAACCCCAGATGATTGCAGCCAGGAGTCTATGCTTTGGCCCAAGGCCTGAGGTCTTGTGCCCACGTGCTAGAGTGGCTCTCGCTGGACTTCATGGGCAACAAGGGAAAGAAGAAGATCTCGGAGGCGACCACGAGTCCGACAAATCCCGTCCACCTATTAAAAACACTGCCCCCCCCATGCCCTCCCTATTTAAAAAAAAACAACTTGTGTGCATTTATTTTAATAGTGGGTCCATGAAATCGGGGTTGTCCAAAATAGGGTCAGTGGGAGGATCCTTGAATCATTGATTAACCAAAAAGTCAACCAGTATACTTGTTTATAATCCTCGATTAAACGCGAATCAAACATTGAAAACGCCTCCAGATCGAAGGGTCGTCCTTTTCCCCTTACAAAAACCTTTATCAAAATAGTGATTCTGCATCAGACTAACAACTAAAGCTTTCGAAAGGTGAGTCTGTGCCATTGGGGCAAGGAAAGCCTGCTGGTGTAAACGCGGCGTGTCATGGTGGATAGACAGGGTGGACAGAGGTGGGAAGTTAGGGTTGCTTTTGGGAACCTTAAAATAACTATTCTCAAATCGACCATTGGCAGTTTAGTAGCGGCTTTAAAGGGCGTCAATTTAAAACAAATACAAACCGTACTTAGGGGTCTCCGACATGAGTTCCATACTCAGAGGTGGGCAGTTAGGGTTGTTTTTGGGTACCGCCCCACAAGGGCGTCGCAGACTGTCTTCAAAGACGTGTCATCCGCAGGTAGTGGATGCGGTGAGTGCTGATGTCACTTGTACTTTCAAACATACTTGACTACGCTACGTCATAGATGTGGGTGGGGTGGGGTTTTATTGACGTCACTTTTTCCTGCAAACATACGTGATGCTACGTCATTGGTGGGGTGGGGGTGGGGTGGTGTTCTATTGACGTCGGTTGTACTTGCAAACACACTTGATGCTTCGTCATAGATGAGGTGGGGCTCTATTGACGTCACTTGTACTTGCAAACATATACTTGATGCTACGTTGTAGATGGGGTGGGGTTCTTTTGATTCCGCTTGTACTTGCAAACGCAGTTGACGCTATGCTATAGATGGGGTGGGATTATATTGACGTCACTTGCACGCGCAAACATACTTGATGCTACGTCATAGGTGGGTTGCAGGTGGGGTGGGGTTCTGTTGATGTCACTTGTACTTGCAAACAGCTTGTACTTGCAAACACGCTTGATGCTACGTTCTTGATGTTTCTAGGTCCTGATATTTCCGGACGTTTCGCTTTACGGTTGCTTGAACGACCTTGGACCTCCAGGGTGGGGGACGCCCCGCTTTTTTTGGGGCGTAAACATGCTTGCAGTCGCTATTGACAATTCGTAACATTAACCGTTGCCAGTCATATCATGGCACTGTCTTACAGATAAGCTTATTACAGTACAGCTTTCGAACTTTGAAGTCAATCCATGATCACTGATCCTCAGCTTCTGGCCTTGACTTGGCTGATCTGGCTGCGGGTTGATCGCGTGTCACTGCCTCAGTACTTTCAGAGTGGCGTCGGCGTTCTTTGGCGTTTTTAGATGAGCTTCGCGCAGTGTCTGGGGTCGGATGAATGGATGGCATTTCTGTCAAACCAGTTTTGACCAACGCGGTGATGGAGACACGCAGAGACGAGTGTATACTTAAGAGACTATGGTATACATATATTGTTACAAGTCTGTATATATTATAAAACTTGGGTGAATGATAGAGCAAAAATACCCCGGTCATGTGAAAATTGTGCAGACGAAAGTCACGCTTTTGTGTTTCGGTTTCCTTTGGTCCGGTGTGGGGGGGATTCCTGTTTGGTTTCTCTGTTAATCTCAGGTTTTGACATCGCCTGCTTGTGGTGATGCCTGTCTCTCCGCCACTCAATCTGTGGTGCCTCACACGACTCCAAGCTCTCATGAAAATCTGCAGATGGCTTCGTGGTTTTGAAGGAGGCTCAGTTGAGGCACCAGCGTCGGCGTCGGTATCCAGTGCCCTCTGCCTCTGCTGCTTTATACTGGTTCTGTCGCATCGTGTGTTCATGCGGTACGCAGATGGCTTGGGGTGGAGACGAGAACAGTACTGACGAGCTGCTGGCTCGATCCATTGCCGGTGGGCCAGAGCGTCTATGTCTCAGGCACTGGTCAGCGTTGCAGGGGCACAAGATCTGAATGAACCAGATGTGTAGAAGTAGGGTATCTAGACAGTGCAGTCTGTCTGGAACGAAAGCAGCGCATAGCCTTTTGCAACTGAAAAAACCGGAAAAGAGAATGGGCAGATACTGATTTTTCCTTCTGGTCATAATATACAATTGGTAAATGAATATCTCATCCATATTAATACTGTCACACTCTTTCGCATAGTCCTTTATATGATGTTATGCTCCCTTCCCCTCTCTGTTTTTACACAGAGAGAAAGAGGAAAGATTGTTTGGACAAGGAAGAAGAGACATGATTTTTGTGAATTGCCGGAGTCGATGTGACTGCCCTTCATTTTTTAAAATCCACAGCAGAAAGAAGCGTTTCTTTGGCCGGTGTCCAAGCACTTCGGCTATACCCAGGCTCACTTTCCCTTACATGTCCGTCTGTGCTGATTTAGCGCGAAGCGCGATCTCTACACGCCACACCATTGGCTCGGCCAACCTCGCAGACCCATGTTTGCTCCCTTTGTGGTGAGACTGGCCACAATGTGAGGGGATGCAAACTGCCAGGGGCCAAAGAATTTGTGCAGTTGAAGTCATTGAAAAGGAAGTTTTCGGCCATGGAGCCAAAAGACACTGACCGCAAAAAAGTGCAGAGTCATCTTTGGCCGCATGAAGCGGCAATGCAAGAATGTTGTTGCTGAGCAATACACACGGGGAAGACGAAGTTGAAGAGAAACAGAAAGCTAGAAAAGCAAAGAAAGCAAAAAGTCACAAAGTGCCAAAGTCACTGCAGAGGAGGTCAAAGCAGATTTCAAATGAGGAGCTACAGGACTTGAAGCTGCTGCAGAAACCTGGACACTGTCCGGCGTGCAAACCGATGTTCGGACAATGATTGTTGCAAAGCCGTGGCTGCCTTGTCCTTGGGATCTGTCTTTCCACCTGCAATCGGCAGAGGTGTTATGCTCGGCGCTTGAATGATGCTCTAAAACGGCCTCGCAACCTCGGCCTGCAATGCTTTTGCAATTGCTAAAGTTTTGGGAGTGGGCTACAAGGCCTTGCGGCGCTTGTGGGCTTGGCTTTGTGCGGCGGAGGCGCATGCTGCTGAGAAGAAGAACGTACTGTGAAGCTCAAAGACTTTGTCGAAGTCGGTACAACCAAGCTACGCACCATTCGTATCAACAAGAACTCCACCACTTGGGCTTCGAAGATTGAAGAGTTTAGAGCAAAAAGATCGAGAAGAGAATTTGACCAGCGCAAGTAGATCCTCAACTTCTTGCTCATCCGTGCCTACTCTCGCACTACCTGTGACTTGGTCATCGAGGTCATGGAACCTCGGATTTTGCCTCCGAGTTCACGACCGACTCCAGACAACTCCAGTGATGTGCGCCAGTGGCATCATGAACAGGCTGGCTCCTGGCGCCGTGCCTTGATGCGTTTACTCCTGAAAAAGGGACGGACGTTTAAGGTGTATACAAGGAGAGAGACATGGGGTGAAACCACCACCCCTAATCCACTAGCAAAGCACCCTGGTCGATGCATCTGGCACGCCAGGGGAAGCAGTCCTTGAAGCAGTCCATGAACAACCAAAGAGCATCTCTGCAGGCAAGCTTTGCATTCGATGTGTCACCAAGTACTGTGTATCACTTGACATGCAAGTCATAGGAATCTTAATGAATGTAGCCACCACATGATCCAGTCATTGACGTTTCACTTCACCGGACATGTTTGGCTCAAGATTGTGGGAAAAAGGGGCGGCTGCTGTGTTCTTTTGGTTATCAGCCGTATCGCTTTGCGATCGGTTGTTGGCCGTCGTTGCAGCCATCGCATCTTCCTCTGGTTCACGTCGTCCGACTGAACCCGCTGGTCCGCCACCGCCTGAAGGGGGTTATTCCGATCCGGAGCATCCCGAGTACGAGGAGCTCCACAAGCTTCTGAGGTTCCCTCGCTCGGGAAAGAGCGGCAGAGCACAGAAGAGGGCGTTCATTCGCCAGGGCGTGGCTGAGGGGCATTTTGCGTTGACACATCCGCATTTGCTGAACGGTGTTACGTCTTTTAACTTTTGCGCACAGAGTCGGGTGACGATTGTTGAGGAGGTTCTTCAAACGTACAGAGCTCGATTCGAGGAGGCGCATAGGTTAGCTGCTTCGGCACTGCCACCTAGGCCTGAGCCCGCTGTTCCGGTACCGCCTGCTGTGATTGGCCTTACGCCAAAGGCATTTGCAAAGGCACCGCCGCGGAGGCCAGAGCCAGTTCAAGTCTCGATTGTTCTGCCGGACACGGTACATTTCCTTACCTTTGAGGCAGCGGAGAGTCACTATACTCGTTGGGAGTCACAGGAAGTGCATTTGGGAGCAGTTGCAGACATTGGCCAGGTTAAGGTCCTTTTTGTTGATCACCATCAGGTTCTTGACAGGGATCACAGCGATACTTGCAGACAGACAGGTCGCGTGGGAGTTGAGAACATTGAGGCGGTCGAGAAGTTCAGACAGTTTGCATTGGATCACAAGCGTATTCCATTTGTTTTCGTTCTTTCTTTCACTGGGAGTTCGGGGCGCTATCAAGCGTGCAAGGACATTTGGAGCAACAGCGAAGGGATTCATCACTTGTTTGACGGGATCATTTGTACGTTCGAGCCGGACGGTCCGACAGGGAAGGCTGCAGTTATCTCGAGATTTGCCGAACGGTTGGGGGATCACTTGTCTTGTTGTTTGATCGACGACAACGCTGATATTCTAGCTGAGTTGGAAGCCACTTTGGCCACCGACAGGGCAACAGGGATTCACATTAAGCTTTCACGGAAGAGGAGCTTGAACAGCGGATCTGCGTATCCATACGCCAATTGGTTGAGCGACGGCTGGACGAAGGAGGCAGTTGAGAATTTCATTGCAGCCGAGTAGACGTCGCTTGATCTTTGAAAAGAAGCGATGGAGGGATCAGGAGGAAGTGCGCATGGTTCACCGGAGAGTGAACAGATTGTCATGTTTGGGGAAGCCATTGCAACTCCTATCCAAGATACGAGTTTGTCATCCCTGACAGAAACATCTCACTCATCGATGGTTCAAAGTAATCAAGGAAACCCAACAGCAAGGACGGGTGTTGAATACCAACAACCGACCATCGGTCATATTGATGCCAGACAGCTTGTGTTCGAAAGCAACCAGTCGTCTCATTTCACAGATGCCAGATCAGTCAATCTTTTGGATTTGAACCCTCTGGTAGTAGCTCAGGCTCACCAGGTCGTGTCCGAAGTGCAGGGTCAAGCCATTCAATACGCCTCTGAAGTTGAAGCTAATGCGAGGAACCAGACTGCTCAGTATGTCCAAGCAATGGAGAGTCAGTTTAGGAACCAAGCCCTTCAGCAGATCCAGGGTGTTGAATCTAATGCTCAAGCCCAAATCCAGAGTCAAGTTCAATCCATTGAAAACCAAGCCAGGTCTCAAATCCAGGCGGTAGAATCCACTGCCAGGAGCATGGTCCAGCAGTCTCAAGAAGAAGCCCATGAACTGGTCCGTCAAACCCAAGGTCAAGCTACCCGTTTGATGAATCAGTCTCATCAAGAGGTTGCTAATTACCAAAACCAGATTGAGCAATTGAAGGCTTTAGTGATTGATCGCACGAACCAGGTGGTTGAAGTGACCGGTGCATTGAACCAAAGGGAGAAAGCATTAGAGTCCACCACTAGGCAGATGAATGAAATGAGGGGTCAAATGGAAGCAATGATGAGGAGGATCAAGGATCAAGATGAAAGGTTGCAGTCCCTTGCAAAGAGTGGTACTCCAGGGGCACCAAGCACCATCCATCCTTGTAGTCCGCCGCCAAAGGCAACCTCATTCGTTGATAGGAAACCTGAAAGTGTTGGTCAGCCAAGTCCATCTAGGAAAGTTCATGGAATGGGTGAATTGGTTCCGGTGGTGCATAGTATTGCAACTCCTAAATCCTACCATCCTGGCACGGTCGCATTCCAGGGTCAACCAATGCAAGATTCGCGGGTCGCGTTGCCTTCGTTTGCATTGACGCCCATTGCCACAGGAACCAATGGTGAAGAGCTGCATTTGGCACCTTCACCAACTCAGTCCGCTTGTGCAGGAGAGATACCAAAGGCAAATCCAATGTTGCCTCCTGCTGCCTTGCTAAATGATCAGATCGGACTTCAAATCCAAAGTGACCAAAACACTGCTTTGCAAATGCAAGTGCATCAGTTGACCGTTCAGATGCAGCAATTGATTGGTGGGTTGACGGCAAACCCTGTGCAATCGGGCAATCAGCCATCATCGAACCGATCAAGAGACCGCCGCAAAGTCCCCGGATCGCCGCCAGGAAGTGGTTCTTCATCCTCTTCAAGTGACTCGAAAGGAAAGGGTTCAAACAGAAACCCTGGAGGGGGCGGAGACTCACCACCAAAATCCCCAAGTGGAGATGGCTCATCAAGCGATTCGGAGGACCCCTACAAACGAGAGAAACGACTAATGCGTATCAAACAGTATGACTATCTAAAGATTCCTGCTTTGCCTCAAGACGCAGCAAAATGCCGGAGTTTCCGAAACGCAGTGTTCAGTGGGGTTTGCAAGTTTGCCAAGAATGATGAAAGCGTCGTGTTCCGTTGGATCAATCGTTGCAACATCTCGGAAGATGGAAAAGAGTTCAACAATGCAAAGGACTTCCCCATCTTGGATCGGATCCTAGGCGCCAAATTGCTAGAATCAGCAAAAGGCACAAAATTCGCCTTGGAATTTCAGACCCACCAAGAGAGATGTCAGACACATGATCAACAACCAAAAGGTCGCAAGTTGTTGTGGTTGATCTTCCAAAAGTTTCGACTCGATCGCGACCGCGGAACGGCACTTAGTCAGCACCACCTTTTGTCCTTGAAGATGAATGGTAGTGATATCAAGGCACTTGAAGACTTTCGACAGCGATATGACTTTTGCGTAGGCGCTCTTGAACCTAGTGAGATGCCAGCTGAAACGTCGCTGAGGTCGTTGTTGTTTGAAAGCCTCAAGAATCACCCCAAAATGGCACTCGCAATTG